TTGAATGCACACTCCACTGGCCAGTGCTTTCACAACAGGGATCATTTTCCTAATATAACTAATATACGGTATCTACAGAGTGTGATTCTTTCAGATTACATTTTCTACTGTGTGTGTGTGTGTCCTCATAATTCTAAGTTCTAATAAAAGGGCTGAAGTTTCATGCATATAATCTCTTTTTGAGGTGAGTCGACTCCTGTTCCCACAGCAACTACAATTCCATCAATGCGCCTCTGCTAGCGTTATTATGGAAACCGCATTGAGATTTTCAGGATATACCAAATAATTGAAAGGAATTAAAACAAAGAACAATAGAGTCAAAATAGGGGAGAAAGGGTGAGATATCAAGATATTAAAGTTAGACTTTGCTTATGTGCTTCTCTGCCTTTGAAGTCTGATCCTGTTTTGGCAGGCAACGTGGGTAATATTCCCTATATCATTCTGTTTCATCTGAGTCAGTCAAACAATAGGCCTACAACATCTTTCATAATGACACCAAGGCATGCAAGACTAATAAAAAAGGCAAATAACACATCATTTAGAGCATTTACCTTAAAATTGTACTGAAAAAACGACAAAAATGGTGAATTAATAGATATTAAATATTATTATACACACACACACACACTACATATTATTTATATATATACCATAATAAAGTGTATACAGAGTTCAAATATATATAGCATTTATTCTGTGTCTTTTTATGTTCCTTTTTAGCATACAAATGTGTTCTGCTAGTGTGGATGTGATTGGGTGTGTTTATTCACTTTTCTGATGATTTGGTTGAAAGAACTATTTCCTCTGTGTAATTACGTTTGTTTACATTAATTTTGTAGCAGACAGTCCTATTTGAGCAAGTTTACATTTTGGTAATGATTCTGCCACATAAGTACACCTAGAGGCTTTCAGTGTGTCAACACACAGTAATCAGCCACGCACAATTAAATGCCTTCATCAAAACATTTCCACTTTCCAAAGCCACTTCCCTCATAAAAGCTGCCTCTTTGAACCAATTTTCTGCTCATCCAGCTCAGAGCATTTTTCTTACAATCTGCTCCTTAGGTTTTAAAGAAAAAAGACCTGAAACATTAGTCATTAGTAAATGCATTTATTTTTAAAATACACCATTCAGGACTTTTATGGTTATATAATGATACTGTGTTATCTAAATCCTCTATTCCAGAGTCATACTATCTAAATCTTCATTTTTGCATATTAGTAATGCACTGTAAGCGTATTAATGACTGATGTATATCGATCAAAGAATGGGAGGTATCACAACGCATTCTCACCCCAAGGCGTCACTAAAATGACAATTTTGACCATGCTTCAATATTCGACGCTTTAGGCACCCTTTAGCGTCAGTTACATGACGCGATCCTAGGGCGTCATCTTACTGACGCTTTACCTAAGCGTCAGTCAGATGACGCGGGTAGGTTTAGGTCTGGGGTAGGGTTAGGATTAGATAGCGTCATCTAACTGACGTTAAAGGTAAAGCGTCAGCAAGATGACGCCCTAGGATCGCGTCATGTAACTGACGCTAAAGGGTGCCTAAAGCGTCGAATATTGAAGCATGGTCAAAATGATTCCCAAGGCGTCAGTTTCATGACGCCTTGGGGTGAGAATGGGCTGGGTATCATCATCTTTCTAACTATCCTGGAAATTACAGTGTTTCCATTAATTAGCCCTCCTTATAACCCCCCCATCCCACTTCAGTCTGGATGACTTTAGTGCCAGATGGTGCCCTGCTTTACTGATAGGAGTTTGGCCCTCCCCCTGGATGACTGATGAAAAAAAAAGAAAGAAAAAAAGATCCAATCACAGCAGACTTGTCTAACTCCCTCTTGACGCCAAGAGAGAAACAGTGCAAGGCTCTTTTCCATAGAGATCCTCAGTGAAAGAGGCTTCAGAAAGACAGATAAAAGTAGAAGGAAAACAGTTCAAGCAACAGAGCTTAAAACTACGTTTGCAACCTTTGTTCACTCCAAAAGCTTCTTTTGAGTTATAATGTAATAGTTGTAGTTGTCATGTAACCACTTAGAGCTGGTGTCTTTAAGTTGAGGTGGATGAATTTGTGGTTTGGTAAATTAACGCAGTAGCAAATTCCTGGCTAATGCTAAAAACAAGTGGCAACCAGCAAGAACTACTTAAGTCTGCTGCAGGAGAATGTAAAAGTGGGAATGCAGCATGAAATCATTAGGAACATTTTATTACATTGTAATGGATTTCATAGAGACAGGCTAGTATGTGGATTGTGGAGTCAGTGGCGTATACTAAACAAGTCCCATTCCATGTTACTGAAAACAGTCTTACAAATGCAAGTCCATCTGTAGATGAGATCTTGTTTACTGTAAGAGAGCCCAGTTCTTGGGGAACTGCACTCTCCCCAGCCACTCAATAAGAGACTGATAAGACAATAATAGGGTGCAATTATACTTGTAGAATAAATCATAATTACAAAGAACCTCATAATATTCCATTCTGTAGTATTATGGACAGCCATTAATTGATTCAACAGTAATGTGCTGCAGGCAGTGTACCATCAGATGTGCAAATAGAGAGTCTCTCGTAATGCAAAAGAGCTCTTTATAACTGTCCTCCTTTATAGTCTGTCCTGTGTGAAAGAAAATAAATAAAGATGTGCAATTGTTTATTTTATCTGATATTTAGCTTCATTAATCAACATTGTGTTTGTGTGTGTGTATATATATATATATATATATATATATATATATACTGTATATATATAACAAAAAATATTGAATATTTGATTGTACATTATATTTGAATATTAATTTTTCATACTGTAATTTATCATTTTGTTATAGCTGACAGAATGTTTAATATTGGTGCATCCCCACCAAAAAATGTCGATTCAAACTTGTAAAAGATTAAACACACCAAAGAAAATCTGTAGAAATCAAGTCAATAGTAACAAAACTTCTTTCGACATGCATGCATGCAAAGTTTCCATTGTGGTTTCTCTCAATAATGACCATACTTTTGGCTAGGAAAGGATCTGCACTCTCCTCATGGCTTCATCACCCTTTTGAAAGGTCGGTAATTTCTTCTGATTGGCCTATCCCCCACTTGCATGCATAGTCAGGGTTCTTCTTGTTCTTCATCACGGGAGGCTTGGCATTAAAATCCTTTGGTGCAGGCGTGCCTGGCACCATCTGAGCAATCAGGGCCACCCACTAATGATAATGAGCGGGATACAGGGTCCCGCTCCTGAGGCGAGTCTGCACCTCAAAGAGAAGCAGGACCACGGGTGACATCTGAACGCTGCCAATTAGCAGCCAGTCCGTAATGCTCAGTTCAGCTTCCTCCATATGAAACTCTGAACATCTGACAGAGTTTGGAAACTGTCATGACTTTATGGCTGAATATGGTTTGGCAGCACATAAAATTAAAGTTCATTTGGATGTTATTGATTTTGCGAAATTGACACTTATGTGTTTTATAGTAAGAAATGCTTCGCCCCAAAACTTGTGAGATGCCCTCAGAACTTATAACATTCGACAATCAGGACAGAGAGATTGGGCCAGAGGCTGAGAGCTGGGGAGAGACACCAAGTCAAGGTCAGGGTCCGCAGGCTTTTTGAGAGCATGGATTTAACCCTCTGGTGCTCTTCGGTTACATTTGACCTAAACATGTTTTTTATTTTTTTTATTTTTTTTACTTAATCGATTCGGAACGGTACGAAACTTGGTAAAGGTTTTGGCAGTTGCTATGTGAACACACACAAAAAAATCATGGACATGATTCGAACAGGTTAAATGGTCCTGAAAAAAATAGTCCCACTTGTGCTCCTTCTGGTAAAAAATGACCTCATTGGAAATGAATGGGTGATGAAAACTTTTGGTACTGCGGCCAAACAAAACTTTACTGAAAGCAATTTTTTTTAGATATCAGGATCAAATTTTGAACACAACTTGTTTAGATTTTTCATAACAATAAACGTAAAATTCTGTAACTTTTTAAGTTCACTTTTTAAAAACTTTTTTCACTTCAGCAATAATCTGCCAAGTTTCGTATTTGAAAAGAAATCAAACTTAAGTCTGTGCTCTAAAGCATTCAAGATGTACGACAGTTTAAGTTGGAAATTTAATTTTCAGGTCTATGCTCAAAAAGTGAATAAATGGATTATAAACTACAGCATAAATATAATTGTGTACCATAAAATCCCCTAAAAATACAAAATACTAAATAAAAAAAACATTATTGAACTAAAATATAATACATTCATCTCATTGAAATAAAAAAAATAACGGTCATTTTTGACTGCCACGCACCAGTGACTCCCCAGCCCAATATTCTCTGCCTCATCACATACACATGACTTGAGAACCGAGGGGGATTTTACATTTTCACCAGGAAAAAAAATGAGCAAGAGCAAAAGTAAGATCTGAAACTGTGACCCATCATATTCGTTCAGAGGCCATGTGTTTGCATTTCTGAGCATTATCCAGGTTTCCTGTGTCTTCATTTTTTTTATACTCTGCCCGTATTCTGGATTACACTTTTTGCCTGTGTTTTCTGTCCTGTTGCATGTTTGGATTGTTTGCCGTGTTTGACCCTTTCCCTGTATGAAGATTCTGCAGTTTTCCGGATGACAATAAAAATACATTTATACAAAATTTAAAAAGTATTTTTTTTTAAATACATAGGCTATAGTTTTAAATTAACTTTTTTTAATCTATTAGTTTTACAATGCTTCCTGTAGAGAGGTTAGGTTGTAACAAACAATGCTTTTGGTTTATGAAGCAGTATATTTCAGAACAATTTTCATTTGTAGAAGACAAATATGGAAATATTAAATCAAATTTTGAAATACATAAGCCTACCTCAAAAATACTTTAAAACAAAACGTTGCAAAATTAGGCCTATGTTCTTTGGTAAATCTGATACATAGCCTACTATCACGCATGTTCATCATCTACGTCACTTTTCATCTCCCGGATTTTGCATCTTTTCTATGGATGTAGCGAGCGTGCTTCCTGTTTCCTTCCCATCATGCTTTTGATGGAGGAATGATGACGGATCATTATTTTGCCTGTCGCAAAAAGGGCTCGATGCTCTCACGCAATGATATCATAACGTCATTGACGTAGACGGTGATAATAAATAATGAATTTGCTCGCTTATCACGTGGAGGCAGCGTCTGAATAATTTAACCCCTGCGTTACTATACAAGCGTATACGTCCCTTTTTGCAGCATCAGTGAAGTATCCCTCCCTACGACGACCTTAATCCTTACAATGATGATTTGTTCGCCATCAGTGCTGCTTTGAGTTACGATAAATCATTGTTAATGTACAATGAGCATTATATGATACGCAAACGGAAATGCATCCTGCTTGGGATCCACCTGCCTTTGGACTACGCCACCGTATCGCGCCGCTGTGAGCCGCAGCACCGCACATCAGCATCGGCACAGCTGGACAGCGGCAGCAGCCTGGAAGGTAAGCGTTGACCAAACCAGGACACTAGGTCAGGATGTACACTAGACCCCATTCAGCCCAAATAAGAATCATATTTGAGCAAATTACAGTTTACAGGCGCAAAAACACAATTTGTGTAAAAAACAAAAAAAACAACAACAAAAAAATCAGAAACGATCATTTCTTTTTCTGGTTTAAAAGCGGACAGGGATTAAATTAATGTTAGGCTATTTTTAAGCCACACTCTTGCGATAACTGCGATATGTTACCGCAATTAACTTTTTAACCGATGTTGAGTCATCAATGATTGAATTAAAACACCCAAGTTGATGTTAAAAAAAAACGAGAAGAAAAGAAACATTTTGTTTTGGTATCAGCTGGTTGTGTTTCACGGGAGGGGCGGTGTGAGATCACTATCAAGTGAATGTCTCCATCTCAATAACATGCTTTTTATGCAATAGAAAGGCAAAAGGCTTGTCTTTATTATTAATGACTGGGTTTTTTTTTTAGATAAGCAATTGCCTTTTTTGATTTCACCGCCTGTGAATATGTCTATAGCGGAGCTCTAGGCAGTGAAACGAGGTTAATCTCCAATGACATGATGGCAGTTACTCATGGATGCCTTTTGTTTATAATCGGGCGTGTAAAATACAACGACGCTGACCATGGTGCTGAAACATACACGTCCGGATTTATACATCATTAAGTTTCTTTTAGTATAATATTAGACGACTACTTAAAAATAGTTGGTAAGGATACTTTAACCTGCCTAATCGAAAGACATGTAATATCTATCTTCCTTTGTTGCAATTAGTTGTATAGAGATTCACGTTTGCCACCTCCAGAAGTGGTCTGATCATTGGTCATTTTGCTTGTGAATTTTTAAACAGTTAAATACAAACGGAAATTATTGCCACTCCGGTTGTTCCATTATATTAGGTCATTAGGTCTCTGCTGCTGTTATTGAATAATCAATCTTTATGTATTTGTTGGTGTTATTGATTCTGTTTTTTATGGAGTTTATTTATTCTGATTTATTGAGTCGTGTTTTATTACACTGCGCCCCACCATATTTTTTTTGTACTGTATTATACTAAATCATATTAATTTTACGCTCAAATGTCATGTCACAAGGCAGAAGATAAGTGTAAGTATTAATACACTTTAAACAACATGAAATGGAACATTAAACACATTATTGTGGCTAATTGATACCAGAAATAATAATAATAATAATAATAATAATTTCTTATTTCAATAAAAGATAATCATAATGCAGGGAATTCTGGGAAATGTGTTCTTAAAGTACAATTATATAATAAGGTAATTCATATGCTTTTACTTATATTTTACAATAAATTTTTACTGTATTTTACTGCAAAATTACATGTATTGTTTACTCTTTAATTCAATTAATATTTTCACTATAGAGTATATGGTAAAGTAACTTAGAGTTTAAAACTTTTTAACACTAGAATATTTACTTTTTACTGTTAAAAGTATGATTTTTTTACAGTGTAGCTTTGACAAATTTACACTTTAGAGGACATTAAAGATTCTTCAAAAGTTATGTATCATGTATGAATGCATTGTATGTGTTTTGGCTCCTGAAAAGCCACCTGTAATGCTATTTGAACTCTGACTCATGAGTTCATGGGTATGACTTGCTTTTTTCTCTATGGGCCGTGCTTGCTCCCATTAAGCTCCTGCCACTATTGTGATGTCACTCATACTGTTTGCGCACATGCTGTAATACAATTACAGGTTTTCCGTCAATTAGAACCACCTGCAGAACTGCATTTGGCATGAGACATAATGCAGTCTGGACAGCTGTGGGGAGACTACGCATAAATAAATACTCATTTCATTATAAAAACTAGGGGTGGAACGGTACCATACCTGTCAACACTCCCGTTTTTCCCGGGTTTCTCCCGTTTTTTAGCCCTATCTCCCGGACCCCTCCCGGTTTGTTATTTCTCCCGGGAAACTCCCGTAATTTGCATGGCCCAAACTCCTTTATAATCGGACCAATATGTTTGTCTAATGTTGACCAGTTGCCAGATCTTGTATTAAATGCATTCTATTCACACAAAACCCAAATGCATTCTTTAAAGTGCAGTATTTGTAGAGTAAACTGCCTGGCAACAATTTAGGAACCATTTTGTTCTGTACAAAAGTAAAGTGGTAATGTTTGTATGTTTTAGATTTTGTTATTGTACGCATCACCCAGTGTCTTATAGGAGTGTTTGTCATTAATTTACCATATTAATACCATATTGTTGCTATGTCAAACCGTTAGCAACATCATGCAGCAAAAACAGTAGTTTTGTATGGAGTGCTGTATTTAAATATTTGGTTTAATTTGGTTCTGACTGTGCCCTGATATTTAGAGATGTGTGTTGTACTGAGGGAGAGATGGCAATAAATCTGATGGCCTGAAAGGGTGTTAGTGTTCGTGCCAGGCAGATTCACTCCGCTCAGCAGCCAGTTTATGTAACAGTGCAGTGCCCTAGAGGAGGAGGGGGAGGAGAGGAGAGAAGGGAAAGCAAGAAGAAGGGAGGAGCTGCACTATACTGCCCTGAGGAGAGCTCTGACTGTGTGTGGGTGAAGACAGGTGTTATCAAAGTTTGGAGTTTCTACATTTAGTCTTCTGTTTGTGCGCATTTGGCTTTTTTGGTGAAGTGTGAGGTGATTTTAAGGTGATGCTTAAAGGTTAAATCTGTTTCTTCATGCCAAAAAGAAAGATCAGAGCAAGTCAGATCAGGTGGAATTAAATGGAGCATCATTACACTGTACATAAGTGGGTTAGTTTCTTTCTATGTTGTATAGAATGTGAGTATTCAGATTTTTTGGTGCTCAGTTTAAGGTCAGTAAGATTTTGTTTAATTAATTAATATTTTTATTCAGTAAGGATGCATTAAATTGAACAAAAGTGACATTAAAGACATGGTTTACACAAAAATATTTAACTGTTTTTAACATTATTTTTCAAACAGATATGTTTCTTGAGCAGTAAATCATCTTTTTAATGATTTCTGAAGGATCATGCGACACTGAAGACTGGAGTAATGATGCTGAAAAGTCACAGGAATAAATTCAAATAGAAAACAGTTATTTTAAATTGTTTACTGATTTTTTACTGATCCAATAAATGCAGCCTTCGTAAGCATAAAGATTTTTTTTAAACTTTTGAATGCCAGTATATCATTATTTCTTTATTATTTCTTTATTTCTTATCTTTCATTTGATGCCGATCCCCGTTTTAGACTCGAGACAGTGCTGCTGTAAATTATTTTCAGTTAAGCTTTTCGAAATGTTTGACTGATACTATGAATTGAAAACATTCTGTATTATGCATGCTTCCACCTGAATATGCATAATATGCATAATTCAGTTACATTTAAGACAAGTGTCTGTAATCTCACCAACAAGGACTGGTATCCTAATCCTGGTATTTTCAAACAGTAAATAAACTCTTTTGAGGACAGCCTGTTGAACAATCTCTCTGTCTTTCACTGTGCCAGGGTGTATATTGGCAGGGCTGTGCATTTAAGAAATACATGTCTGAATCCCTCTGTGTAATTTGAGCAATGCAGTTCTGCCTACCATTTCCACACACCATCTGCTGCAGCCGTAGCTCTTCTGTGTTTTGCTGTATCTTGTACTCTAAAGTATAACGCAGCAGAACTGTGGGATGGAAGATTTCCATCTCTCATTCTGAATACAGGCAACAGCAGTGTCAAACAAGGTGAGACTTGTAAATTCACCCTGTTATTAACAAGAGAATTATGTAGTGTGAAAAGCAGGTGAGTGTCTGTTTCTCATCTGGAATTGTGGGTTCAAATATTACAGTCTCTATCTGTCAATGTTATAATATCCGTGATTTAAAATAAAACTCGAGAAAGTGAAGCTTTCCAAGACTGCCTGAAATTGTAGTAGTTTGGAAGTTATATTGGCATTATGTTGTCTGAATTGGCTATATTAAAATCTCTATAGTATTAAAATCTAACATTTGGACATTAGCAGTGAAAACAGCTCCATATAAAATACGTTTCACCCAATGACAGAGCGCATGTCGTATTTCTTATGACTAGACCATGTGACGGTGTATTGGAGCTAAATAAAAATGTCCTGAATTTTTTATCAGGATGTGGAAGGATAGACCAGGTCCCAAAGTTTTATTTAGGGTTTAGTGATGGCGTATGTGTTTTCAAATGAAATGTAACTGCAAAAATACTATCAGATGATTTAACATCAATTGGAAACTGAACAAAAAAGTAAAACATTTATTACATATATGGTTGTACAGTTAGATCAGGGATTAGAAGCATTTCTGTGATGCTTTTTTATTCCTCAGATATGAATAACCACAAGTAGGCTGGTTTGTATCAGATAGCGCCGTTCAGATGCACATTGGCAACGGTTCAATCAATCAGACCTCCTCGACAAAAGCTGTAGAATACGCCCACTCTCTTTTCCCACACAATGATCTCACAATGGAAATCAATTCTTCTTCCATTGCCTGTAGATGGTCAAACACTTTCCTTCACTTCCTCCCTTACCAATCACACCGCACAATTACCCATTTATCCTGATTCCTAAATGACAGCCATGACTGATTTAGGTGAACTTGACCTCCACCTGGGGCTCCACCTGTTTGGTTTGTGTTTTCAAAAAGATTTCAAAAAATCTTTTTGAAAAGAAATGAATACTTTTATTCAGCAAGGATGCATTAAATTGATCAAAAGTGACAGTAAAAGACATTTGTTGTTACAATTTTTTTTTTTCACTTTCTGTTCATCAAAGTATCATGAAAAAAAATACATCATGGCTTTTTACTAAGATTAAGCAGCACAACAGTGTTTTCAACATTATTTTAAAATATATTGAAGTAGAACACTTTTAATTGTAATAACACATATTTTCACAGCTTTATTGCTGTAATATGTCAAAATGTTGCTATGGTTATCACCATGGCAACCATCACAGGTTTAGTGCACATGGAACATGCATGTAGTCGTCACTCACAAAACTTTGCAGTTTTTCCACAAATAATAACATTGTTAAATTTGTCCAAAACTATTTTTTTTTTTTATTACTCATTTTAGGTGGACATAAGCACAATTTAAGCAGATATATTGTAAGTATCATCTAAGAAATATTAGAATGGGGGAATGTTAGAACCTCATTCTTAGTTCTTAAGAATTTACATTGAATTTATATGCCAGTCATATATATCTGAATATATGATAAATATATGAATTTATATAATTCCAGTCATATATATGTATTTATACATATATAAATACAAACCATATGTATTTGGCAAAAGTATTTTGCCTTGTGCTATGCTTTTCTGCCCGCATGCATTATTTATGTTACCGTTAATGTATAAAATACACGTGGAAGGAGAGCAGTGTATGTACATTAGCATCTTTATGGCATCATCTTGTCTCTTTGAATAAAATCAAATCTCTGTGTTGGACCGCAGGCCACTGTTTATACATGTGTGTGTCATAAGGTCATTGGCAAGGTTTGAATACTCTTCTAGCACCCTAAAGGGACAAACAACATCATAATGTTACTGTATAGCTCAATGTGGACTGACATGTGAACCTTAAATAACCATTACTTTTACATTTTGCTGGACATCTCCTTAGTTTTTGCTTGAAACCACAATCCACCCATCATACATTTAAGTAATTTATAAGCTAAGATCGGTAGAGCAGACAGACCCAGTCTTTGTGGCCTGTTGTGTGGTTTGTAAACCTGTGGCAAATCATTATTGGTCAGTAGTCATGTGCTTGAGTCACCGTGATGGACAGACTTCACTGCGATCTGTCACTGTCTTCCTGCAGACAGTTAGACACGGGATGAAGGAGAGAGAGTATCATTACAGCTGAGAGAAACCATCAAAATCCTTGAAAGTGACAGGATTGACGAGTTAAATCGGAAGGAACTGGGCTAGTGGTGAAAGAGAGGAGGAAAGGACTATAAAATGAGGTGTAAAAATGTGTTGGTAAAATGAAAAAGGTTTGATATAGAGAAGATCAGAGGAGAAAGAATGTCAGATAGGAAATGAAACGGATGAAAGCAGGAATGGGTTTTGTTCTTTGCCTGTTCCTATTTGGCTGCACACCAGGGCTCATCAGCACATTTTATTGCTGTTCAACATGGGTCTTGATGTTATCTCCAGCTTCTTCCTATCAAGAGGCCCTCAAGATATCAAATCAACAAACTCGAACAAAACGCCATTACATTTAGTGCCACCTACGAACGCTTATTTTTCATTTTTATTTAATCTTTTTGAACTGCTTTATCAGGATGGACTGAAAATGAATGACTCGTGAAATATCACTACAGCTAGCAGGCACTCATGAAGGTGCATTTATAAAGAAGGTCTCTTGTTCGTATGATGGACACAGATGCCATAAACAGTTGTGAAAATCGGATAATAATATGCTAATTTTCTGTTCTGTTTCAAATCTAAGAACTGCCTTGAATCGACTGAGACATATTGTTAGCATATAAATGAGTTGCTTGATGATTTCTCTGAGAAAGTGTCATTTAGCCAGACAGATATACCCATTACTGAGTTCTTATCTGTTTTTTTTGTGACCCACAATGGCGCCGAAATATTGTGCTACATGTTTACGTTGTAGAAAGCATCCATTCATCTGTTAAACTAAGCTAACAGGCCTTTCTTTTACAAACATTAGTGAATAGCTGATGGGAAGAGGGGCTCTTGCCTCTTGCATTAGTATTTAATCAGGCGGTATAAATGTAACTCTTGTGAATATGGCAGCACATTTCCTTTAGGCTAGCATGAAGAGGCTTTTACCACGACAAATGTTTTATCAGTCAACAGCCTTAGATTTGCTTCAAAATGTGAACGAAACACACTTGAACAACAGCAAATGCATCTCTTTGGGAGAATTCACAGGATGATACCCAATGGTTTTGTGTTAGAATAAAAAATCACTGGAAGGGCCGTTCAGATTTTATACGAATAGGTAGGTGCAAAATGCATAATTTTGTAGGTAGTTGTAATATATACGTTTTGCATATAAGAAATGTATAACATAGCACATTCACAGCTACTGAGAAATATAATTAGATATATGAATATTTCTCTGTATTAATATTTATTTAACAATTATATGAATGTTATTATTTAATAATGCATTTATGATAATATATCTATGTTTTATTATTAAATATTAATATTTTTTGTTTATAGCTACTTTACCATTCAAAAATTTGAAATGAAGTTCCTTATGCTCACCAAGGCTGCATTTATTTGATCAAAAATACAATAAAAAATAGTAAAACTGTGAAATATTTATAATTTATTATTATTATTATTATTATCATCAATGTTAAAAACAGTTGTCCTGCTTAATACCTTTGTGAGAACTGGGATATATGTTTTTTCCAGATATCTTTGATGAGTTTGAAAGTTTGAAAAAAACACACTTTTATTACAGTATAAGGAAAGCATATAGGTAAGAATGACTGTCAAGAATAATGATTGATCACACCATTGTCATCTCATTTTGTTCACAGCGTTGCTTCACCTTCACCCTCACAAGTCATGTGGAAACATCTAGTAATGATGCTCCTCTGAAAGACAGTGAACATCTCAGCTGGTTTCTTTGTGACCCCCTATACTGCAAGGCCATCTCCCAAAGCTTCTTTAGACCCTCCATCCTCCTCAGAGTATCAGCCCCATATCTTGAAGCCCTTTGATCCATATCCTGCCTCCAGGATGAGTGGGCTCTTTGCCAAACTGGACCCACGGCGGATTCAGTGGGGGTCCACCTGGTTTGCCTTCCAGTCCCGCATTCTGCGCACAAAGCCGGTGGAGTCCATGCTGGAGAGCTCAGGTGGCACGGGGGCTCACGGCACCAAACTCGCCCGCGTTCTCTCCACCGTGGACCTTGTGTCTCTGGGAGTGGGAAGCTGTGTAGGCACGGGCATGTACGTGGTTTCTGGACTGGTGGCTAAGGAAATGGCGGGTCCTGGGGTCATTGTGTCTTTCATCATCGCTGCCGTGGCCTCCATCCTGTCAGGTTAGTGCCGCCCCGACTTCCTGTTCCAGTCAATCTGACACAAAAGAGAAAAACACAGAAAAAAAGGTCTGTCATATTCCTGTAAACCTGCCCCCAGTGAAACGTGGTCTAGTGTTATTGTACTATAATGGGTAACATAATTTTTTATTCACTGATCCTGAGTCAGGCTTAAGCTGAGTGAACACGCGTATAACTTTATGCCTCCTGACGTGTGGTGATGACGCATGGTGAACTGGCTCATTAGGTTTACAGGTTGGAGCTGTGCACAGCATGCAGCACCAAAATAGAGTTGGGGGGAAAATCCATTTAGTTTTCCCTGTGGAGACCAACATGAAGAACCCAAAAATGAAAGGAAAGGGAAAAATGAGAGGAATATTTTGTTCCTGTATGCAGCTGACCCTTCTACCCATGGAAACAGAAACATAGTTCAGTATTGAAACCACTTATAATTACACCCTTGGTAAATATTAGCTATACAGGCCATGAAAAAATGTGTCTTTCATTCAAAATGTTCATTAAAATCTAACCTATATTTAAAGTTAAATTTATTTAGAGTAAATTCTTAACTTCCATATGTGCCACAGATGAAATGCATTCCTGTTTAAAGGTTTGGGGTCTGTACGATTTTTTAATGTTTTTGAAATAAGTATCTTAAGTTCACCAAGGCTGCATTTATTTGATCAAAAATACAGTAAAAACAGTAATTTTGTGAAATATAATTACAATTTAAAATAACTGTTTTCTATTTTAATATATTTTTAAATGTATCCTGTGATGGTAAAGCTGAATTTTCAGCATCATTACTCCAGTCTTCAGTGTCACATGATCCTTCAGAAATCATTCTAATATGATTTGCTGCTCAAGATAAAACAGTTGTGCTGTTTAATATTTTGTGGAAACTGCTCTTTTTTTTAATAGAAAGTAAAACAATTATAGCATTTATTTGAAATATAAATATTTTGTAACATTATAAAAGTATTTACTTTTGATCAATTTAATGCATCTTAGCTGAATAAATGTATACATTTTTTTTTTTTTAAATCTTACAGACCCCAAAGAACGGCAGGGGACAAATGAACACAAATCCTATTAGAATCACAATAAAAATCTTTAGCCTTTCCAAGAAACGGATATAACATTAAGTCAAGATGAAATTGAAATGAACCCTATTTACGTTGCTAATGCATGTTCTTGGTTTTATTGTGATTGATTCATCTGTTAGAAAGAAAAACAAAACACTGGCTCCATTCTGGTATGAAACAGTCACTTTTCTCCATCCAATGATTTCTCAGTAAATGAATTCAAGTGCCGTCCTATATTTGACCATGTTTCATTCAGAAATACATTACATTATGTCAACTTCACGGTTTATGTACTGCTCTTTAGCACTGATGATAGAAAGTACATATTAGTTCTGAATGTAAAAACAGATAATCCTTATCTTTTTTCCCACTATAGTGGGGTTTACAGGGATCCAGCCTGTAAAGAGTGATTTTACTCCTGTTATCTGGCCCTCTGGGATTCTATGTTTGACATTTGAGAATTGATCTGCCACTCCAGCCCAAAAAAATCAATGATTCCATCTCAGCAACCAATTAGAGACGTTCATGCTTTTATTGATAACCTTCAGGAGTGCAGGTGTTACAGTAATCATTGTTATCTCTCCACAGGGGTGTGCTATGCTGAATTTGGTGTGCGTGTGCCTAAAACCACAGGATCGGCCTATACTTATAGCTATGTGACGGTGGGCGAATTTGTGGCTTTTTTCATTGGCTGGAATCTGATTTTGGAGTATCTGATTGGTACAGCAGCAGGAGCCAGTGCACTCAGCAGCATGTTTGACTCGCTGGCCAATCACAGCATCAGTGGCTTCATGATCAAACATATAGGAACACTCAACGGACTGGGTGAGTGACATGAACTTTAGACACTGTTATGTTTATGTTTAGAAAATAATCATCAATGCCTGACCCCCATTAATCTCAATACTGCAACAAGGAAACCTTTATTTCACATAAAAAACCATGGCAGCCTACTATTATTAATTTTAGATTTTATGTCACTAAATGTTGCAGTTTGAACTGAACTGAACTGACACACTAATTAGTCTTGACACACACCCACAGTAATTACAACAGAAGTTACAGTAGGCTTAATTTATCAGTAGATTGGAGTTAATGGTGCTGCAGAAAAGAAAAGGCACTTTGGCAGTCAATAGTCTGGTGACAATGACAATGTTAAAAACAACAGTTTCTGTGTTGCACTGTGAAACAGCTGCTCCAATTATATTTCTGAAGAGGAAAAATAAGCACTTTTAAAGGTTGGTCATTTGCTATTAAAATTAGGACCGAGATATTTTCAAAGCAGATATGATTTGAAGCAAATTCTAGATCTTGACATTTTTTTCGTTTTACTAAATATTCATGTGAAAAATGCTTTTTCTATGTATCTTGATTGCTGATTATGCAATAACTTGATTATGCACTTTAATGAATAGTACCTTTTAGAAAATGTTTATTCTGTCAGGACTACTATCGTCAAAGATGATACAGTTTGGATTGGTGGTATGGTTCTGTTCTGGGCATGAACTCTTGGAGGGCAGCAATAACCCACCTTAGGGTAAACCGAACAGAACCAACATAAATGTATTGCAGATATTATTAATGTTGTGTACAATATGATTCAAGAAAAATGAGTCTGATTCGAAGAGGAATATCAGAAGGCCAAGTCCTGACTGGACGAGAGGAGGAGCTGGGGATGGAGGAGGGTAATTAGCTCCTGATCAACGCGATAAAGCTGCTGATAATTCTGAATGGATCTTATATATAGGGATGCTGTGATAGGCATCGTATTCAGAAAGGTATATGACGTGACGTCCTAGACGTGGATCAGCTGAGAGTCAGCTGATGCGAGCTTGACTGACGTGACCTGCCGGAACTAACGCTACGCCTGATTATTGTTTTACACGTAATATTGCAATATTTTTTTAATAGTTGGTTTCAGTAATGAAAACGAATTATTTATTGTTATTTTTATTGCAAATACTTTTTCCTCACATTGTATAATGGGTCTTTATTCATCTAAATTTATAGCTGCCTTTATATTTTCGGAAGGGGGTCCCTCACAAGGGGACATTTTGGGGTCATTGGCGTCAAAACCCCTAACCTACTCAAAAAGACACACCACCTACTGTCAATCCTCAGACTACAGATGGAGGAATGAAATAAGGGTGTTTGGTTTGCAGACAGACATTACATATAGACTATTGTGTCTGACCCAGACAAAACATGACATTTTGGGCCAAAATACATAATCGTACTCGGCCAACAGCAGTAAAATCTCCTCTTTTTCGTTAACCAACCCCTTTCTCTAAGAGTCTAACATCCCTCCATCTGTGTCTCTCTGCACACATTATGGTTCATAGTCATTTCCGCTTAAGGCCTAGTTAGTAGGCCTATGTTGAATATTTTTAGTAATACATGATTTATTCATGACTGCATTGAGGGGTCAAAGAGGACTGTCTGTTGTCATGTTGTGAAAAACAACTGTCTAGACTCACTACTGTCATCTGAGAGACATCTATCTATCTATCTATCTATCTATCTATCTATCTATCTATCTATCTATCTATCTGTCTATCTGTCTATCTGTCTATCTGTCTATCTGTCTATCTGTCTATCTGTCTATCTGTCTGTCTGTCTGTCTGTCTGTCTGTCTGTCTGTCTGTCTGTCTACTATCTAACTTTCGGACAATTTCTTGTAATGCCAGCATCAAAATTGGCTCAACACATTCCTTTTTTTGTTATGTTTCAAAATCCATCTGATGTGAATTCCTCCATTATCACCTCTCAGGTAAAGGGGAGCAGTCGTATCCAGACTTCTTGGCCCTGGTCATAGCTATCCTGGTCACAATAATAGTTGCTCTGGGTGTGAAGAATTCCGTCGGGTTCAACAACGTGCTGAATGTCATCAATCTGGTGGTGTGGGTGTTCATAATGATTGCAGGCCTGTTCTTCGTCAGTGTAAGCAACTGGGACGAGGGACGATTCCTGCCTTATGGCTGGTCAGGGGTAAAGTACATTTCAAATCAATTACTAAAGTTCAATCCGTTAGTGCAGTTAGTGACTCTCAGCATAAACAATGAAGAGAAAATTGCATTGTATTGTAGCTATAATCAACCACTCTGTCCAACAGGTCATGCAGGGTGCAGCCACTTGCTTCTATGCTTTTATTGGGTTTGACATCATAGCCACCACGGGAGAAGAAGCCAAGAGTCCCAACACATCCATCCCCTATGCCATCACTGCCTCTCTGGTCACCTGCCTCACTGCCTATGTCTCTGTGAGTATATACTAAAGCATTAACCATTTGTACGTTTGTTTCTCATTTTGGGTTCATACGCAATACACAAAATCTGAGACCACATTGAAAATCTGGGATTTTTGAAAATACACCCTTATTTACAACAAACATAAACTCCCTTTGGGTAGAGCTGTGCACAACTGTAAACAATATTACATAATGGAACTGAACATACAACATACATAGTACTGTAAATCATTCATGCACATCCTTTCTCATCAGTGAAAGAGAAATTGTTCAATTTAGGATAAAAAAATTTGTAAAAATTAGCTTGACAGATTTTGACAACTAGGCTAGTTCAACAGTTTTTCTAGGCTATGTGATGACTCAATCAATGAAATGAGGACTATTAGTTTTATATGGAATGACTATTCAGCATTCACAAGTATAGTTAATTTTGACTGACATGACATAAGCAAATGATAATGTTATAAAACAGCAGAGAGTTGTATGAAAGCAATTGATGCATGTCCAAAAGCATTTGCAATTAGTTGGAAGGAATGAGAAACTGCTACTATGATGTGCACAAATGACTAAATGTTGTGGAGGTTGAACTAACTGTTGTGCAAATGTAAATAGTGATGTGAGAAATGCACCAAAGTGACTGAGAAAAACTGTAACACTCAAGTTTGTTAATTTTCATCGTTAATACTTGAGTGTGACGCTGACTTGAGTCAGGTGATAAAGGTTTTATTAAGTTTGGTATGTCATTCACAGTCTATTTATTTATACTTAAAGCTTACCGTTCGGGAACTCCTACGTCTCGTCGGAGGAGTTTCCAACCAATTGGGATCACGCTAGGGAGACCAATTGCCTTCGAGTGAACTAAAACGAGCCAATGAACATTGGCATGCAGGACTTGTATTCCGCGCCCCGCCTGCCAGTGCGGGTATAAAGCAGAAGCGAGCGCACACACATATGCTTTTTGCTTCGGAGCCGACCGGTTGTGTCCTCTGAGTGGATGAGCTTCAAGATTGTGATATTATCTTTACGCTCAACGAGTCTGCTGTTTTCTCCAAGACCTTTTTGTGTAGGTGTAACGGCGCTTCGGCGATCTTCGCGATCTCCTGGGTGTCCAGCTGTCTACCTTTTTTTCAAAGAGCTGTTGTCACAGCTGGTATTCGGTTGAGTGCACACAGCGGGCTTGCAGTTTCCCCGCTGTGTTGCCGCGTTTATCCCTGTGTGCTTCAGCACAATAAGAGAGCGTTTTTTGTGAAAAGAGCAACACGGGTGAAGATCGCGTCCTTTTCAGGATGACGTTTCACCCTTGTGTTTCTGGATGCGGCCTTTTCCTGTCCTCATTTGAGGGCCACGATCACTGTTTCACGTGCCTGGGCTTAAGCATGTTGAGACTGCGTTCGTGGGTGGTTTATGTTCTCTCATGAGAGCATGACCACGTCGACACGTTGTTCGTCTCCCCTTTCTCATAAAGGCTTGAGCCGCGGGTTGTCACGGCAACCCTGCGTGCGTCATTCGGCGCTCTAGATGCGGGGTCGAGACTCAAGTGCCTCAAACGAGGTGGAGTCCCTTTGCCTATTCCCCGATCTAGTTCCTCTTCTGGTGGCCACCAGAAAAGGGCTACTTTGGTTAATAGCATTGGTGATCTGAGGATTACAGTGAGCGTTCTCCGACGAGACCACCTCCTCGGCCCTCACTCCTCTAGCGCATCGCAAACATGCTGAGACTGTGTTCGTGGATGGTTTATATTCTCTTATGAGAGCATGACCACGTCGGCACGTTGTTCGTCTTGCCTTTCTCACGAGGGGTTGAGCGCTCAGCGTGCCGTGTGCCATCAAGGTTATGGCCACGTTCACGGTCTCGCATGCCTGGCAGCTTTCGGGTGGAATTTCTGGCCCTTCTCATGAGGGACCAGGTCTTTCATTCGGGTCTCCAGGGGAGGATCAGATGTCGATCGACGCATCGGAGAGAGGGCTGTCACACTCTGGAAATGATGATGCTGAGTTCCCACTGTAATGGTGTGTGTGCTCATGCTGAATCAGATTCAGACTTGACAGCCACGATTCCCGGGCTACTCTGGGGGCGCAGTGCGACGCGTAATCGCCTTGCCTCGCCCCCGTGCCTGCCCGGATGTGTGTGAAAAAACTTTAGCAGTATGGAAGCATATTGGTGCCAATGTGGAAAGCCAAACATGCCAAAATCTGCAGAGAAAGTTTTTTCCTCTCTCACTACCCTTGGTGGTGGGGTGGCTTTGCTAATGGCAGACCACCTCTTCCCTGCATGTGATGTCTGTGTGAGGCCAAAACGCACAGTACACAAGGGTAGCTCTGAGTCGGGGTTGAGCTGTGCATTGTGACTAACCATGGTTTAAGTCACATCCAGGGGCGGATTGGCCATCGGGAATACCGGGAACAATCCCGAACGGCCAGTCCATTTCAGGGCGAAGACCGGCCGGTGGTCAAAGAGCATTGTTTTTTTTGTTTTTTTAATGATACGCGACCGGCCTAAACGGCCGCTTAAGCCTAGTTCACACTACAGGATTATAGGCCCGATTTAAGCCCGATTTGCAAATCGTTGAGCACGCCGACAGGTCAGGGTGTTATCGCGTGCAAATCGCGGGGGATTAGCGGACGATGGACGCTCGCCAATCTGTTAGTATGAAAGAGCCAACAACGCATCAAAGACGCTCGCAGACGCCTCGCAGACGCGTCGCCGAGCCCAGAAAAATATCTAGCATGCTAGATATCCAGAGCTGTCGCCCGACTCAACCTCAGTGATGTCATGAGCTACAGCCAATCAGAGCAAGGCATGGGTTGCTTCAATCAGAGCAAGGCATGGGTCTTCGTCTTCTTCGCTGGGTATTAGCGCGCGTGATGTTTCGCGTCATTTCCGGTTCGTTTTATCGCGTGATTTTTTTGTGACAAAACGTGGTTTGTAGACAAGATTGAATCGTTGGGTGACAGAGTTGTTGTCAACTCGTGTAGTGCGTTACCTCCTGTTGCGGATCAATCACGTTGTGTCGTGTGGTGTGAACAGCTCAACAACTTGAACACTCCTGATTTCACAGAGAGCAAGTCATGTAGTGTGAACCGGACAGTTCAGCCCGACGTTTTAAAATCATGTAGTGTGAACTAGGCTTTAGATGCAGCAGAACGCTGTGTGTGTGTGTGTGATTCAGACTGGGCCAAACCAATACTTTCAATCTGAGGGGGGATACGAGCGGCCCCTCCCAACTTAGACTGATCCTCGTTTTTCCTGACATCCGATTGGCTCAAACTAGGCGCCGATCAAAGGAGTTTACTTTTGGTCATGTTTGGCGGGTTTGTGTGAATGCAATGCAACAGAGACGGACGGTAAAAATGGCGAAAAGAAGTAAAGAAGAGAAAGAAATGGGTTGGGCAAAAAAATAAGTATTAAAAAGAAAAGATTTTTGGCACAAGAGGCCGCTAAATGCGCCAAATTAACAGACCTTTTCCGTAGTGGAAAGAGTGCTGTGGCAGCCGGAGGTGCAGATGAGGAAGGACCCAGCAGCATGGACAGGACAGGTGCACGATTAGGGATATATTAGTGATTTATTATACACTGAAATTGTTTATATTTGCATTTAAATATAGGCATTTATTACGTGGCTTGGTAGAATTCCTATTCTACCAATCCATTTTCTATGACTATTTGACTATTTTCTTTAGTGGAAGCAATACAATCGTTTTTAAATAAATAAACTGCTTTTTAAATTAATATTTTGTGTGAAATTATTGATTTATTTGGTAGGTAGCCATGTAATAAGCGGGATAATGTATAGTGAGGCAGCTGATACAAACGCTATAACAACCGCCTCGCTATACATTATCCCTTACATATATGATATATTTATAGATATATTATATATCATAAACAGCAGTTTGCAGTTTGTCGTCACACACAGACAACATCCTTCTATAAGCAAGGAATCTGTATGTCTGTATATGTATATTTGTTAGTATTTGTAACTTATTTTATCACTCCGACTGACTGTACACGACATGCTAGTAGTTAGCAGTATACTGTGACTATGACTAATGTGTTCGAGATTAGGTTTTGCTGACCTAATTGTGTTCAGTGCAGTGGTGACTTGCTTATACAACCTGAAGAGGCAAGTGTCATCCTAAAATTTCTTGAAGGTCTTCAGTGTAATCTGATTCTCTTTATACCATAAAAACACTATTAGAATTAAAATAACTGCAAAAAAATCCTTCTGCTCATGCACCTAGGGCACTCGCGTAAAAGGCCTCTCCATCTTAAAGTCCCGGGCTGAATTTCAGTCCCAGTACGTCCCTGGTCACATCACTGGCCCTCGGTCAAACGATGTCCACACTGGTGGTCCAGAAGCGTCCCACGGCTAAACCTTGCAGAGGTGCGATCGCCAAAGTTCGCTTTCTCGGTGCTCCTATCTCACAAGGTTTGCCTTTTTCGAAGGTAAACAAACTTTGTTATATTGTTTTCATGTTATCACTGTGAAGCGCTTTGATACAATCTGTATTGTAAAAAGCGCTATATAAATAAAGGTGACTTGACTTGACTTGACTTTTTCGGCGACACTGTTGGAGACTGTGCCCAGCGGCTCTCCACAGTTCAGAAGCAGGCTGAGGAGACCAAGAGCTTGACCCAATGTGCTACTGAGTCACTCGGTTTCTTCTCAGTCTGTTTGTTGTCAAGGGTGTCAGTCCCCTGTGGAAAAGCTGTCACAGCCAGCTCTACTGTGACATCTAGCTTTCGCAGGAAGACGGCGCCAACTGTCTCAGCAGCCCTGAGACGGGCAACCCAGAGTTGGAGGAAGTTGATCTCCGGGAGATGGTGTCCGCACCTCTCCCTCCACCGGAGGTTGGCCGGGTGGAGAATCTTTGTTTCATTTTCTGTTCCGTCGCTGGCTCCCCGGAGTCCAGTGGTACCCACATTTTCAATAGAGCAATTTCTTCCATCTCTGGGTCACAAGAAGGTGCAGACTGCAGTGAGCGACGCTCCCATGCGTTGCCACTCCTTTC